AAAAAACAAAAACAAAAGGATGGAGTTCAGAGAGCTTCTGGGTTGGTGAACACATGGTGATACTGGGAAATGGCATGACCAGAGAGGGCATGGAAGCTCTGTGCCTCTCCCCAATACCTTGCCTTGTGCATCTCTTCCATCTGGCTGTTCCTGAATTCTATCCTTTTATAGTAAGTCAGTTGATGCAGGGCAGGTGATCCCCAAAACTGGGGAAAGCCCAGGGGGGTATTTGGCTTCAACCAGGAAAGAATTCAAGGGCAAGCCAGTTGTGTTAGATAGCAACTTGAATTGAAGTGGCAGTGTACAGCAGCAGCACTTGCAGAGCAGGGCTGTGTACCCAGAGGCAGTGTACCCAGAGTAGCAACTCAGAGGCACTTCCACAGTCATATTTATACCTGCTTTTAATTATATGCAAATTAAGAAGTGTATTATGTAGAAATTTCTAGGAAAGGGGTGTTAACTTCCAGATCATTGGGTCGTTGTCATGGAAAGCAGCGATAACTTCCTGACACAGTGCAATGTTGCTATGGCAATGGTAAACTGACACAGTGCACTGGTGGGCATGTCTTATGGAAAGCTGCTTCCAACCTGTTCCTGTTTTAGCTAGTCCTCAATTTAATTCGGTGCCAGAGCCCTGCCTCTCTAGTCAAGTCCCACCTCCTACCTCACAGTAATCTAGTAAGTAACTGTTTTCCTGAGTTCTGTGAGCTATCCTAGCAAATTATTGAACATGAGAAGATTATGAGAACCTTTGATTTATAGCACAAGTAATAATGTGGACTTGTGATTGGCATCTAAAGTTAGGCTTTTGTGGGATTGAGCCTTTACTTTTTAGATCTGATGCTAATTCCAGGTACATAATGTCAGAATTGAATTCAATTGTAGGACACCAAATTGTTATCCACCGTGAATTGGAGAATTGGTTGTTATGGGGGAAAACCACCCCACATATTTGGAATCAGATGTGTTCTGTGTAAGCGTAGAAATAAAAGTAGTTTGTTTTTGTTTTTATAGAGAAATGCAAATCAAAACCACAATGAGACATTGCCTCACACCTGTTGAAATGGCTACTATGAAAAACATAAAAGGTACATATTGGAGAGGATGTGGAGAAATTGGAATCCTTGTGCATTGTTGGTGGGAATATAAAATGGTACAACCACTATGGAAAATAGTGTAGAGGTTCCTCAAATATTTAAAAATAGAAATACCATATGATTCAGCAATCCCACTTCTGGGTGTTTATCCAAAATAACTGATATCAGGGTCTCCTAGGGATAATTGCACTTCCATGTTCAATGCAGCATTATTTACAATAGGCACAATGTAGAAATAATCTAAATGTCCCTCAATAGATGAATGAATAAAGAAAATGTGATATATACATACAATGGAATATTACTCAGCCTTTAAAAATAAGGAAATCCTGCCATATAAGAGGAAATTATGCTAGCTGAAATAAGACAGTTACGGAAAGACAAATACTACATGATACCACTTACATGAGGTATATTAAACAGTCAAACACATAGAAGCAGAGTAAAATGGTGGTTGCCAGGGGCCAGGGAAAGGGGGAAATGCGGAGTTGCTAATCAACAGGTGTGAAGTTTCCATTATGCAAGATGTTTAAGGCACAACATTGTGCCTATAATTAGCAATACTGTATTGTACACTTAAAATGTGTTAAGAAGATAGATGTCATGTTGAGTATTCTTACCACAATAAAAAATATATAATATGATTCACCAGTTGCAGTTCTGGACATTTATCCTAGAGAAATGAGGACATATTCACAAAAAAAACTGTACATGAATATTTATAGAAGCCTTATTTGTAATAGCCCAAAACTGAAAACAACCCAGATGTCATTAAACGGGGAAATAGTTAAACTATAGCACGTCCATACCATGGAAACTCAGCAATAAAAAGGGTTGGACTATTAGTAAACATGACAATCTGGATGAGTCGTCAGAGAATTATGCTGAGTGAAAAAAAATACTAAAAGGTTGTTTACTGTTTGATTCCATTTATATAATATTCTCAAAATGACAAAATTACAGAAATGGAAAATGATCTAGTGGTTATTAAGAGCTAAGGCGGAAGGCAGTATAAAGTTGGTGTGACTATAAAAGGGCAGCATAACTTATCCTTGTGGTGATGGAAATGTTCTGCATCTTGACTGTATCAGTTTTAATATGGTGGTTTTGATGCTATACTGTAGCTTTTCAAGATGTTGCCATTGGAAGAATCTGAGTAAAGGGTACAAGGGATCTCTCTGTGTTTTTTTGCAACTGTATGTGAATCTAGAATTAATAGAAAATAAAAACTTTGAAAAAAAAAAAGGAAAGCAATCAAATGATCAGTGCTGGTCTCAGGAAGATGGTCTTCTCGTGTAGAGGAATTCAGGGGAATGAAGGAAGGGAAGACCATGTAGTTAGACGTAGGATATTGTCCTCTTATTTTGGGTGCTAAGTTTACAGATGCTTCTTATATTATTGATAACTAAGTAAATAATTCAAAGCAAACATTAAAATATAAGACATTGGTTTTAAATTTTGTCTCAGTGTCTTATATTCTAAATAAAAAGTTGTGGCTAGACAATGCTATGTATGTATTCAGCAAACTTTTATTTTTGTCTCAGGCACAGGGAAAATCTATATTTCCTATATTCCTGTGCATCCAGGTGGGACTGTGTAACTCAGTTCTGGCTGATGGTATTGGCCAAAAGTGAAGTACATGACTTTCAGTACTGCCCATAAAACATCCTTTACAATCTGCCACCATCTTCTTCCTTCATTCCCATGGCTAAAAAGGTGGTAGAGCTGTACAATATAGGAAGCCTAGATAAATTAATTTACTGCCTGGAGGAGAGCCATGCAGGAAAGCCTTCCGACCAGGAGTATCTGCATTGAATTTTGCAGGAACTAAGAAGAAATTTAATTGAATTAAACCACTGTGATTTGAGTTTTTATTTATTATTATAGAATAATCTAGCCTGCCCTGACTAATATAGATGCCAAAAAAGATTTCCCCTGAAAAAAAAAAAATGATGGAAACTCAAAATTGTAAAGACTAGAATGGCTGATGAATTGCCCAAATCTGGGAACAATAGCCACTATTGCAAAGTCCTTAGAATTAGATTGAGAAATATAACTGGTGATCCATGAATGTGTTGGCACTGGGTTTCAGCAAACCTGATGGCTGAAAAGAAGGTGGAAAGATGCTTTGCCCCTCCCAACTGTCTGCTCTGGCTCAGAAATGCAAAGACACTGCCAACCAAAAAATGGAGCAGCCATTCCTCTACTCTACAGTGCTGCTTTCAAAGCTGCTTTTAATCAGTTCTGTTCCCTCCCCCTCCACCTCTATCCCATTCTTGCCAGATTTTTTCAAGTTAAAAAAATATATATACACTTAGGAGACTGAGGCAGGCAGATCGCTTGGGCTCAGGAGTTCGAGACCCAGACTGGGTAACATGGTGAAACCCGATCTCTACAAAAAAATACAAAAATTAGCCAGGCATGGTTGCACATGCCTGTAGTCCCAGCAACCCAGGAGACTGATGTAGGAGGTTCACTTTAGCTGGGAGTTTGCAGTAAGCCAAGATCACACCTCTGCACTGGAGCCTGGGTAACAAAGTGAGATCCTGTCTCAAAAAATATATGGATATAGACATAGATATATTTGGAACCCCCTTTGTAATCTTCTCAAATTCTTCATCTGTCCTCATTACCCTTTTCTGAATATGGTGCCCATTTTTTCATGTTTTCATATTTTTACTACATGTGTATTTGTCCTAAAGTAATATATAATAGTGTGGAGTGTATTTTAAAAATTTACCTAAATGTGAGATGCGTTAGTCAGGGTTCTTCAGAGAAACAGAACCAATAGGACACAGACAGAAAGACAGACAGGCAGATCTGGAGATTTATTACAGCAATTGGTTCATGCAATTATAAAGACCAAGAGTTATAAGTATCAATGTGAATAAATGTAAAAAGTATAGTGTCAAATGAAAAAATAAGTTGCAAAAGGATCCATAGGATAGGCTTCTATGGTGGCTAATTTTATGTATCCACTTGACTGGGATAAGGGATATCCAGATAGCTAGAAAAAGCATTAATCTCTGAGTGTGTTTGTGAGGATATTTCCAGAAGAGACCATGTTTGAATTGCTGAACTCAGTAGAGCAGATGACTCTCCTCAGTGTGGGTGGGCATCATTCAACCCATGGAGGAACTGAATAAAACAAAAAGACAGGAGGAGTGAATTTGCTTTCTCTGCTTAAGCTGACAGATCCGCATTCTGCAGTCCTCAGACATCGGAATTCCTGGTTCTCAGTCTGTTAGACTCAGATTGTGCCTAATACTAACCAGTCCCTCAATTCTCAGGCCTTCAGACTCACACTGAATTACAGCAATGGTTCTGTAGAACCAGCTTGCAGACAGAAATATCATGGGACTTCTCAGCCTCCATAGTTTCCAAAATAGCTCTCCTCATATATCTGTCTGTCTGTCTATCCATCCATCCATCCATCCATCCATCCATCCATCCATCCATCCAAGTCCTATTGGTTCTGTTTCTCTGGAGAACCCTAATAGAGAATGCATATTTTATAAGTTTGTTTTCCTATCTGAAAATTACTATTTGTCTCGTAATTATATTATGAGACAAAAATTTAAAAAAATATATTTAGGTATTTTCCTATAACATTTCATCTGGCTTTTTAATTTTCTTCTTTAAAAAGTCTTGCATTTTTTAGTTTGTTCTTAGGCCCTTATTTTTCCTGTGTTGAATGATATTATGGTAGCTAGTCTTTTGAGACAGCCCTCCAAAGAAATGTGCCTTCTGCTCTTGGTGCCCTTACGCAGTCTTCTTTCACATTGATTTTGGACTAGTTTTACATCAAAGGTATATATGTAACAGCCTCATAATATGTTTTGATAGCTCTTCCTTTTTTCCTGTTCTGTGGAAGAAGTTGCATATAATAGAAATTACCTGATCGTTCTTTTTTTAAAGACAGCACTTTCCACTCTTGAAGAGCTTCCATTATTAAACTCCTTTCTTTTAACAAAACTAAATTTTGGGTCGCCACCGCAGCCGCCCGAGAGGAACTGGGGGAGGACGGTGGCCCGCGAGGCTCGTCGCAGACAACGCGGCGGCGATGTCCGCGAGCCAGGAGAGTGCCGCGGCGGCAGCGGCGGGGCCTTGCGCGCGGCAGGTCAACCTGGGCTTCGGCCTCCCTCCAGTTCCCTGGAAGCGGGCCCGCGACCAGCGCGGGAGCAGCAGCAGAGGCGGAGGCTCCAACGCATCTCTCTCCTCACCTTCAGCCTGAGCCAGGGGAAGCCAGGCGGCCCGGGTGTCTGGGGGGCGGGGGGATCCGCTGCCCGAGAATGGGAATTCTCTGCACCAGAATATAGAGACTATTCAATCACCAGGAGCACAAAGTTATCATTGTTGCGCTGGATAATGCAGGAAAAACTACCATTCTTTACCAATTTTCTATGAATGAAGTTGTACATACATCTCCTACAATAGGAAGTAATGTAGAAGAGAGAGTGATTAATAATACACGTTTCCTAATGTGGGATATTGGTGGCCAGGAATCTCTTCGTTCTTCCTGGAACACTTACTGTACTAACACAGAGTTTGTAATAGTTGTTGTGGACAGTACAGACAGAGAGAGGATTTCTGTAACTAGAGAAGAGCTTTATAAAATGTTAGCGCATGAGGACCTAAGAAAGATGGATTGCTGATTTTTGCTAATAAACAAGATGTTAAAGAATGCATGACTGTAGCAGAAATCTCCAAGTTTTTGAAGCTAACTTCTATTAAAGATCACCAGTGGGATATCCAGGCATGCTGTGCTCTAACTGGCGAGGGATTGTGCCAAGGACTTGAATGGATAATGTCATAACTTAAGATTAGATGATCTCTACTGACCTCTTCTCATAGACTTTGTATAAATGAAGTGCTGGACTTTACCTGAAAGCTGCAAAAATTAATGGTTTAGATATATTTATAATAAACTGATTTAAACTGTTTCTATAAGAAGAAAAATTGAGACCACTTATTTGAAAACAAAGATGAAGTCTCACCTTCCAATTTACTTTCTTATTAGTTTTTTCCAAAGTAAGTTATTAAAGCTGTGATTGACATTTTTCTCATAATGAATCCTCTCGGGACATTGTGTAGCCTGTGGTAAGTACAAAGGGAGAGGAAGACATTTTGAATTTTAAGAGCTTTATTATCAGTATAACGCTCCCTAGTGGAATGTTGTTTTCTTCTTGTTCCATTAAGTCAAAATACAAATCAGCACAGATATTCAGTTTCCAATATTTTAAAATGTAATGTTACTTAGGAAAAGTATTTTGCTTAAGGTTGTGTGTGTATTGTGTATATACCTCAAGTTCAAGTTAATGGCATTAATTTATGTTCCAGAGAAAAATAACACAAATATTAATAATATCCTTCGTTATAACCATAATGAGATAAGTATTGGCATTGGTGTTCAGTGCCATTTTATACTTTCTCTCTATGTTCTATGTATTGTACTAACCAACCTCCCAAATCATTGAGCTGCTTATTTAAAAAAAAAAAAGGAAAAGGAAAAAGCAAAAAAAAAAAACTAAATGTTGATACTACATAACAAATTGTTTAATCCTGTTCTCTAGAGCTAGAGATAGTTCCAAATGAAAACTTCAAATATTTGGGTGTGGCTATTGTACCTCTACCCACACCTAAAGATTTTTTTTTTTTTCATTTTTGAGCATAAGTAAGTGTAGTTGCTTTAACCAATTTTTCTGAAGGCTGTGAATACATGACCTCATCCCCCTCCACCAGACATGCTCCTGTTTATTGCACCAAAATTCATGAATAAAATTACAAAAGAAAATCATCTAAAGGATGGAATTGGCATAAGAGATGTGATCAAATAACAGATTATTATAATTGTCCCTCTTCTGTTTTTTAGTATGTTCAACATTTTCCACAAAAATAGTATAAACACTAAGAAAAAATTATAAGGAAAAATTAATTACCAAAAGAGAATGATATTGTTATCTTGAATCCTATACATCAAAGAGCTGTTTTGCAAATATTCAGTCATGAGAAGGGGCATCATTATTGGTAATAAAAGCAGCCTTCATTAGCATTGTGTTTTCCATGGCAGTCACACAAACTAAAAATAAAAAACAAAGTCTTGAATATACAGAAGTTCTACATCCACAACACATTAATAATTTTTAACTATTGTATCTAGATATTTGGTTTATACTTCATCCTAAGACCTCCAAATTCTAAAATACATTTATGAATTTTACAATATGCCATTTGTGTGATTCTATCTTCTGATGGCCCAATAGTGATAAGAATGTCGAAAATCATGGGTTTATTTCTGAAATTAACTATCACTAAGTGACCAAATTTGCTTTTGGTAAATATTAAGCAATAAGAAACCTAAGATTAGATACAGTCTCATGTTCACTTAGACAACGAAGAACAAAGATCATTTGGTCGTCAATTAATCCAGTAAGTATTAGTTTGAACTCCATTTCCCCTAGGATGAAGGACTCTGAGGATCTTAAACGCATTTCAAAAGGCTTTTTAATATTTACAGGAAAAAAATAAAATTTTCTTCTATACAATTATCTTTTTAAAATCAGCAATATAAAGAATGTTGGAAAATTAATGCTTTACAAGAAAATCTTGAAATAATAGTTTGTGTTATTAAACAAATGTCTTAAGTTATCTGGAAAACATCAGGTATTCCTTCAACTTGAAGTGCTTGGCAGGGCACAAGGGGCTGCTGGGTTGGGAACAGTAAATGTGACTTCAATTTTTTGAATCCCAAAGATTGGTAACCTATGAAGAAGGCATAATCTTTCAAATTGTCAGTCTAGTGTTTTTTATTAAAGCCTTCTTGAATGGAAAAAAAGAAATAAGCTACTTATGTCCCTCCGAGGTGCTATAGATAGCACTTTGATATTGTACTATTGATCAGAATTTATCTTTATCTGAGCCAAGTACAAGATAAAACAAAATGAATTTCCTTCAATTCTCTGTCATTGAAAATATTTGAATATTGAATTAGTCAGGGTTGTCTAGAGAAACAGAGTCAATAGTAGGTGTGTATATAGAGAGAGATTTGAGGAATTGGCTCGCACAACTGTGGAGGCTGACAAGTCCAGACCTGCAGGGTAGGCCAACAGTCCACACCCCCAGGAAAGAATTAATGTTACAACACAACTCCACAGACAATCTGCTGGTTAAATTCCCTCTTCTGGATAGATCAATCTTTTTTCTTAAGACCTTCAACTGATTGGATGAGGCCCACCCACATTATGGAGAGTAATTTGTTTACTTGAGGTCTACTGATTTAAATATTAATCTCATCGAAGAAATACCTTCACAGCAACATCCAGACATATTTGACAAAATATATAAGTACAGTAGCCTAGACAAATTGACACATAAAATTGACTATCACATATATTCTGATATATTTCTGAATGGATTTCTTAAAATATATGAAACTAAGCTGAATGCGGTGGATCACACCTGCAATCCTAGCACTTTGGGAGGCTGAGGTGGGTGGATCTCCTGAGGTCAGCAGTTCGAGACCAGCCTGGCCAATGTAGTGAAACCAACCCCATCTCTACTAAAAATACAAAAAATTAGCTGGGCATGGTGGTAGGCACCTGTAATCCCAGCTACTAGGAAGACTGAGGCAGAAGAATCGCTTGAACCCGGGAGGCGGATGCAGTGAGCCAAGGTTGCACCTTTGCACTCCAGCCTGGGTAACAAGAGCAAAACACCGTCTAAAAGAAAAAAAAAAATCATATATATATATATATATATGTGTGTGTGTATATATATATATGAAACGAGTAAAATACTTCAGGAAACATTTCTAGCAAGAAAACAAAATTAAAAACTAGCATCAAATATAACAGGATAAATTCTGTAGTATAATCAAGTTGAAAATTATTGCAAATGAACAATTTCTGATATTTCTAGATTAAATACAGAACAGAAGAAAATGATAAAATTTTACATCTCACGCTGTCTGGCACCCAACACGGAGTTTGCAGTGTCATGATAATTGACTTTCACCATCTGTAACCTTGCTAGGAGGTTAGAAAGGTCATTCATACTAGTACTTTTCCTAATCTACTTTTTTCAGTTTGAACTATATTCTTTTTATATCTGAATCTCAAGAGGAAAATATTGACTACCTAACAATACCCTATCAATTTTTTATTTCTATTGAATATAGAATCTTTTTCTTATTCTAGTATTTCAAAAACTGAATGGCTGTTGAACACAAGCTAAAACCTGCCATCCTATGATCACAAAACTCAAATGGAATCCTAAATAGTTGTATTGATGTTTGGCAGTTATAGCTGGGTTACTTTATTGCTGGTGTATGCCCCACATATTTCTTCTTTAAAAGAAAATAATTTGAAAAAAATGTATCCAGTGACACCCTGCTTTTCCTGCCAATGATCTAATTGACTATAACTATGCTCTATTAGCTCTGTGTATAATGTACCAAATTTGCAGACCAGTCAATAAAGAATTGTACAAGCCCTTATTGTGTGTGCTGGCAAGAAGCAGATGACTGACACCTGCTTTCAAGTTTCCCAAGGATGAGAAGGTTGGTTTTCTTTCTCCCCACTGTTCCACTGTGTGTCAGTATTAAGCAGACATACCCTGCATATTTATAGGTAACTGCTCAAGCTAAAGGCCTTCTGCATTCTTGGCACTTAGCCCCACCAAATGACATCCCATCAGCGGAATTTTTTTAACCATCCCCTTGAACTTTGTGTGGATTCTCACTGACTCGCTTTGTTCTGATTTTCTTTTCCCTCTTTTTCTAATTTTAAACATTTTGTTTTTATTTTCTTTTTAAGATATTTCTCCAAATCCATTTTTATTCTTCTAAACTTTTTAATATTGTTTTACCTTTATTGTTTTCAATTCCTTTTCTTAGTCCTTAATTCTCTCTATGTTTATGTTTTAAACTTTTATATCATGGATTTTAGTCTTTTATGTTAATCTTTTGTCTCTCATACTGTTATTTTTTTAACTTATGATTCTTTGTGTCTTTATTTTAAATTATTTATTTTATCTATAATTTTAGTGCCCAGTCATTTGTCTTTATTGAGATTTAATCATCATGTTTAGATATTTTTCCTTTCAATTTATTCCTGCATCTCAGATTTCTGTTGTCATCTCCTCATAATACTTTACAGTAACAAGTAGGAACACTTCCATGAAGAGAGCCCTCACTCAAAATGGCTGAACAAAATAAAGGGTTTGGGAGGTGGAATATATTAACTCACATTACTGAAAATGTCAACTTGTAGGCTTGGTTTTAGACGTGGCTAAATTAAAAGTTTTGAAAACTCATCACGATCCCGTTCTCTCCATGCTTCCTCTGTAATGCCCCATTCTAGAGAGGCTCACCAGCACTACCCTCAGGGCGGCGGAGTTCCAACCTACTACATCCTTTCTCATTCAAGTTCCTCAAAAGAGAGAGGCACTTCTCCTTCTGAGTCAGTCCTACCCAAGAAACAAGGATTCACTTGAAGCCAGAAGCAACCAATGTGACCAGGTAGAGTTTATTAACTGACTCAGACCTATTTCAAGTGTCTTCTCCCAGAACAGAGGGTGAGGCAGCCTCAGCCAAAGCAACTTGATTGACAGCAGAGGAGGGAGGCTCCTCAAAATGAAAGAAAGTATGGCGGGTAAGCAAAAGAAAAACATCCTTTTCTATTGTCTTTAAAATGCTTCTCAGGATTCTTATCTTGGAATTGTCAAATAAGCCTACAACACGAGAGGGCAAGCTGGAGACCTTGTTTCTTTCCTCGTTTACAGGAGCCTCTTCTCCAGCTACCCATAGTGGGTGCTCTAGCATTTTCGGGGATGATTCTCCAAAAACAAAAACTTTCCAGAACTGTAAGTCTTACCAAACAGCTGAAACATTGTTAAGTGTAACAGAGTAGCTTCTTGACATGTCACACCATCCAGGCTTTAAACAACAACAAAAAAACCATCAGGTATTCCTTTAACATTAAAATGTTAAAATCCAGTGGAAATGGAGTCTGTATGAGCCAAAAGGGGTTGACATATGAGTCCTTCCTTGCAGAGATGCCCTTTATGCAACATCACTGGCCTGATCTCAGAACGAGAGGCTCAAATGAGTGAAAAACATCAAGATAAAGCCAACAGTTACACTTCTTAGCTCTGGTAGATTTCTTGGAGTATACTCCTCAACAGCAAAGACTCCTTTTAAAATTAGGCAAAGGCTGCATTTTTGACTAATTTTATTAGCATTTTATAACTTTCTCCTTTCATCTTTTCAAACATTAGAGAAAACAACTGTGGCAGGCATTAGTGTGCATTAGCCACCTTCATTGCGTCTAGGCTGCTGTCCTATTTTGTACTTCATTTCATCAGAACTCCTTTCTTCCCAGTCTGATTCAGTTCCAGGAAGATGATAGAGTTATAACCCCTCTCAAGTCACTGTCTGCACACAGAGAATCCCTTTGTGACGATTTTATTATTTTAATTTACTCAACACCCTCAAGAATAGAA